GGCAGGGCAACAACGTATGTCAGGAACAGCTCATGCGGAAGGTAACCACACAACTGGCTTCTCACACCCAACATAGACAGAGCCGAGGCCGCAAATTTTTCAGCCGAAGGCACAATGAAAGTGGGCTGCTTGACGCCCGACATGTTTGTCGCTACAAGGCTTGGAGTGAGTGTCTGCATCTTGACACAGGTGCCCTCCAACTCACCGGCTAGCGAGGCAGTAAAATTGTTTACAAAGGCCTTGGTGCCAGCGTAGACAGAAAGGTAGGGAGCAGGGAGACAGCCAGCAAGAGAGGAAATACTTAAAATGTAGCGGTGAACGTCGTCTGGCGGCGGCGGGGATGCCAGCATCTTTGGCAGGGTAATGCGAGTCATGCAGGTGGTTGAGGTTGCATTGCAGACAATCATATTCTGCAGATTTTCCAGAGTCAGATCTTCACAGGCGACCAGGGAATCGATGTGAGCGTATGCGACGCCAACGTTGTTGACCAGAATGGCAACTGAGGAGAGTCCTTTAATCTCTTCTTGCAACTTTTCATAAAAGTCGGTCTAAAGGAAACAGAAGAAAGGTCATTTAGCAGGGCATGATTGGTAAGGCACGCAAAAGTCCCGATGTGGAGGAAATGTGCGGTAAAAATGGTACTGGAGAAAGTTACTGACGGAGCCTAACGAATTAATCTCACCGCTACAAGGAAGTCCGATTAGTGTGAAATTTTATAGGCTGAAAGAACCCTGAGCCGAGCGAATACAGAGCGAAGAAATACTGCGCTGACGAAGAAATCTACCGAGTCGAGTCTGTTTGATTTTTTCCCGCAATGGTTACCCCGGAGACTTTGTACACCGATACATGAGACAACAACAACCCAACAAAAAGGAACCAGATAGTTCCACTCAGGCGCCCAAAGCAAACACACAGCGAATCCTTCTTTATATAAGGAATGTGTCTGAATTCGTTGAAAGGCATTTGCGGAAACGCCAAATAAAAGTGGCACACAAACTGATGGCTACTTTACTCACTCAGCTAGTACACCCTAAGGATAGGATTTGCTACCTCCATAAGAAGTCATCGAAAAAATCCCATGCGAAGCTTGTGATGCCGTATATTGTAACCAAACGGGATGATCCGTCTTCACACGCATCCATGAGCACCAATTGGCGGAGAAGAGGTGTAACTATATGTCCGAAGTGGCTATGCATTGCCTAGACACGGGACATACTTTTGAATGGGACAAAACACGCATCGTCGGAGTTTGCCCGCCAAAAGGCCGAGATTTTCTCGAGGCCATGCACTCCGATGACTCATGCATTAATTGGCGTATCGAGTTGGATGGAGTGTACAAACATCTCAAAGAAAGATGGAAGAGACTACAGCCGACCACTACACATAAACGTGTACCGCAATTGGCGCCCACGCCGGATGACCCGGACTGACCCCGGACCGACGCAAATTACAGTTACCAACTAGCCATTACGCTATTGCGACTACTAATTGTGTCCACCACGGAGTGGCCCAAATTGCAGCTTCCATTTAGCGCCCACACTACATAATTATATAACTGGACCAGCACTTATGAAATGTTAATTGTTCGTCGCACTGTTTCTCAAGTCTGACGACGACCTGGGGGTCCAGTGTCGAAAATTTACTCAATAAGGTTTCCTCATTATCCCGAAGAACGTGTCTTCCTGAAAATAATACATTATTACAGGTTTTTTATAAATTAGAGTTAAATTTATAGGGCTTCAAAAAACACTGAAAAGAATGCATAATATTTAGGTAACCATGTACTGCAGAACTGAATTTCTCCAAACGGTCGGAAAAAAGCTTCCTCGAAAGCCGGCACCATACTTTGATTGAAATATCTTTAGATTAGTTCGCATGATAGGCAATAATACGATACTACTTAATTAATTTGTTTGGATCAAAAACAAATTTCAGATGTTCGGTTGACATCTCCTGAGGTAGGAAATCGATTTTACGCAAGAACACGAAGACACGCCCACCTATTATCCTACTTGCTGGCCAGCTCAGGAATCAACGTCAACTACTTCAAAAAGTATCACAAAGTCGGATAACGGCCCTGTGTAACAAGGTGACTTTGAAGTGCCAGTAAATAGGCTTATTTCCCAACAATGTCTTTGCGTTCGGTTCTCGAGCCAAAGCGAACAATCCGAGCAGGTGTTGGAAAATCGCTCGTAATTAAAAGTCCAAAAAAATTACCATGAAAATGATCGATTTATGCATTGTCGTCTGCAGGAACTTGTGTACTCTGCAACCCTAGGTCTAATGGTGCGAAGTCATGCAATGGGAGCTGAGCTAGTTAACAGGAAACGAAATTTTGTTGGTGCATGCTGGGATGTACAAACGCTCTGGTTAACACCGTCTGGCGATGCGCAGACGTCAATCTCTATCGCCTGTCTGGAATCCGAATACCAGCCTGAAACTCGGGCTAGGGGTTAATTCTGAATTCAGTCTGTGGCAAACGCGACGAACTGCGATCGAAACCGGCAAGGCAGCGAGCCCGTGGCGCAGTGGTTAGAGCGTTGGACTTGTAACTAAAAAGGCTGCACGGCCAAACCTCGGGTGGGGCACAACTAGGGGTTGGGTATAGTTGGCTGATGACGGCTAATAAGCTAGAAATTGCCGTTTTAGTCTCCTTTATTTTCGTCTTTATCTCATTCTGTCTATATTATTAGCCACTTTGCGGCGCGGCTCAAGAGTGAGCTCGAAAAGCAGAATAAGGGACGAGTGAGGCCTGTAATCGACCGGTGAATGCCTTTCTGTCAGTGTATATATATATATATTCACTTGCTTTTGTCATCCCCAGAAGAGGAAGAGTGTTAATTGGCGGCTGCAGTTGGCGTCAGTCTGTATCGATCGCTTCTCATCTCCTCCTTTGTCTTTGAGGTTTTTTTACTCGGCCGACAGGGTCGCGAGTTAGAGCCTTGGGTGCCGCAACACCTAAAGTGAAGTATGGCTAGCTGATGACGGCTAAGACGCCAGAAAGGGCCATTCCACTCTCTCCTGTCTCTGTCGATAATGTATACATGCATATCTTAAGACCCCTGTTCTCGGGTTGCAATCGTCGACACAGCGAAGCAGTTGAAGATTCGAGAAGTGCTGGTCCAGATGGTTGGATCAGAGCCATTTTTGCATGCATCTTAAAGAAGAGAGAAAAATTGGCAAAACCATCACGGCATAAGCCTCCTCAAAGAACCTCATCATCGTCATTCTCAAAAAGATGTGAGCGGGAATATAGCAATAAACGCAGGTTAAAACAAGCCGACCCGGGCTGGCTGTGTATAGGCCGATCAGATCCAATGTGGGCGTTCCGAAATTACCAGCAATCAATAGTCGATTGGCTTTCTGACTCCAACAAGTCACAAGTCACCAAGTGTGTTTTGCTGAAAAATCTAATCAGCGCAAATATAATGGACTGGATCCCCGGGTTTCGAATTAGCACCGTGTACCAGTTGACTGACCTCAAGTGCACTGACTATAGCGTCGTAGAAGGAGGAGCCCGCTTCAAGAGCCGACGTATCCACATATCGGATGAGAAGAATTCTCACTGTGAAAATAACGACGAACAACTCTGAGAACTGAATAGTGTAATATAACCCGGACGGAGGTTATCACAAACTTACCAGAGTGAGGATCTTACTGTTATTGGATGCAAGATTTTCACAATTCTAAGAGAGTTCATGCGGACCTCATGTAACTGCTACGACAAAAAACATCCGAGTGTACAGAAACTCCGTCCACGCTGTACACACGGAAGTTAGGCAAAAGTTAGAGGTACTATACGTCGACCTTTCAAATGAAGCACAACGTATTTTGTCTTTCACTGGATAGTTCCTACTTGCCGCTGCATTGTGGATATACCTCGTGCGATCAAAGAAATACGACTAGGAGGATTTGGGCACGTTCTTCATTGATCGCTCTAGATATGTACACCTGCTGGTTTTAAATATGTTCAACACAGTCTATCAAGGTACCTTCCAATCCCCAGTATTCCGCGTTGGTAGATGTACGAGAACCGAGCATACGGTTACTTATCGTCTTCCTAGAGCAGCATAGTAACGGCATTGCCGAAACCACTGATGGTAGATACGACTGCAGCCATGGCAAGTAGAAGCTAACATCAAGGCATGATTTGGAACCGACCTCGTGAACTGGCTTCAAATTTACTTACACTAGCTACTGTCCATAGCTCTATAGACAGATAGTCAACTAATAAAAATAAAAATGTGGGGCCTACGCATCAAGGATGTTAACAACAGGCTATAAACGGCTAGATATAAACCAAAAGGAACTTACCGTAGTGAAGTCGGCAGTAAAGATTTTTGTCTTCACCTTGAAAAGAGACTCAATCTCGTTAGCCACGTTGGTTAGTTTTTCCGTAGACCTGCTTATAAGGAACACGTTCAGCCCATCACGAGCTAACTCGTGAGCAATTGCTTTGCCAATGCCGTCCGTCGATCCAGTCACGATAGCCCAATCACCCGCTTTTTTCAGATCCTTCCGTTTGGACAGGAAATTGTGTAAAATAAAGTAGGTTATAAATGGACGGAGGAAGTAGTACACGCGATAAGTCACAGCAATTACTCCAATTATGGCAAGAAGAATTAACGTGAACATGGTTGATGACCCCCAATTGGCAATGCGTGTAAACCTCGGTTGGAAGTTGCGACGGAAATCTAAAACAGTAGAAGATTAGTTGAAGATGCCACAGCAACCTGTGAAAAAAGGTAATATGCGTGTTATGCCGGGTGCTTGGGCACAACTTAAAGCAGACATAGTTACTTTTTTACGTTATATAAGACGGTGAATAAGAGACATTTTGACACATAAAACCAAGTTTCGCATGAAACATTCTACACCTTTTTATTTTTTCGAATGCACTCACAAAACGCGCAATGTTATTTATATGTTGCAATGAAAATTCAGTAAAAAAACACATCACCGACGGAACCAAGAAAAGACAGACAATGGGAGAAAAGTGGTGGACTCCTGAATGCCACCAACGGAACATTGTGCTGCAAAAGGTTGGAAGCACCGACAGATGTATCAGCAGTCAGCAGGTAGGAATTACAAATGCATATCCAGAAGATAAAATCTACATTAAGTACCCTTCTGTGAATGTGACATGCGGATTTAGGCCTTCATATCCTCCGTTCCCTACAACTAAGCAAATTCGCGAAGAGGCAGGTGAATATTCTTACCGTGCCCGTGAAATTAGCATATTCAAAACGTCTGAGTGAACCAATGAACCGAAAAAATAGTTCGGTTCGCTAAGAGATGCAAGGAATACCGCCCATATGCGCAATCACGTCACACTTGTATCAAAGGCTCTAGGGGCCTATTCGCCTAGATCCTTTGGTCAAACCTAGGACCAGTAGAACATTTGGTACTAGAAAATTGCTATAAGGGAAAACCACTGCGCATAAGCTAAATGCAGTTCGTTGGGGAATTGGATGCACCCACAGCTTTATACGCCTTGGTTGTGAATTTAACTCAAGATTTTCCTCATACAAATCCTTTTCACGGATGACAGAAGAGCCAAAAATCTGTTTCACCTATAGGTCAACATTCCCTAATAGCAATGTTCCGGTACCAAAGGATAGAATGGTTCCAGTTGGACCAAAGGATAGAGGCAAATAGGCCCCTGTAGCCTTTGGCACTAGTGCGCCGTGATTGCGTATATGGGCGGTATTCCGTGCGTTGACTGGGGGAGGTTACAAGCCGTCATGGAAATCAATGATCGAACACACACAAGCCCCCCCCCCACCTAAGAAAAACCCTACCCGCACGCACGCCTCCTACGTTTGCTCCTCCCCCCTCCAAAAAACGGCACCTGGATCGATGTCTTGCTCCGGCAACTTTTGCCAGCGTATGCCTACGGC